AAAAAAAAAAAAAAAAAGCAAAATTTACCTCTCCAGAAAAGATTTGACTGGTTCCATTTCGAAGTTTTCAGTGTCTTTCTTATATTCATCTTGCTGTTCTTTAGAGGCTGTCTTTGTAGCTGTTGGCCAATGAAACATTTGCCTTTGAGATGCTGGATTTACTAGTGAGCATCTGTCAAATTCAATGTCAGTCTCTAATTTCTCCCACATTTGCTTCCAGTGAATAGGAGTGTACCAGGCAACAGCCTAACAAAAACAATTCATTAATAGTTTTTTTAAAAATGCCATAGGCTTGTTACAATAAAGTTTCAAAGTCAAACATGTAATCTTACTTGCCCATTGTGTGTGGATTAATGAAACACCCACTGAGGACACCCTAGTCTTAGTGCCCAATTCTCAAAATTATAAACTGCGTAACTTCAGATGGGTAACACACTTTCTGTCTTGTACTGTGTCCCCATATGAAAAGTGGGGAGAATGGTATTGCTATATGAGAGTGTTGCAAGATTAGATCAAGCAAATTATAGGAGCTGTGTAGACGACATACAGGAGGCCTACAGACATGTGAAAAGATGTTCATCATTTCTAACTATTAGGAAATGCAAATCAAAACCACAGTGACAAATTACCTCACACCTCTGAAAAAGACCTTTATTAAAAAGAGAAGTGTTGTCAGGGTGTGGAAAAAAAGGCAATCCTTCTACACTGTTCTAGGGCATGTAAATTTGTGCAGGCATTACAGAAAAAATAGTATAGAGACCCCTCAAAATATTAACAATAGAAATTTCATATTATCCAGCAATTTCTCTGGTATTTACCCAAAGAATGCAAAACACTAATTCAAAAAGATTTATGCATCCTCAGTGTTATCACAGCACTATTCACAATAGCCAAGATGTGGAGACAATATAAGGGCCCTTCGATGGATGACTGGATAAAGAAGACTTGGTTTATATATAAAAGAAGACTCAACCATAATAAAGATGAACCCTGCCATTCATAACCTAGATGAAACTGGAGGGAATGATGCTCAGTGAAGTCAGTAGAAGGAGATAGACAAATATTTTATGAGTTCACACACATGTGGAATACAAAAACACAAACAAGCAAAACTAAACAACATCACATGCTTAGAGAGAATAGAGTGGTGATTGCCAAGATGAAGGGGCTGGGGGGTGATGCTGATACAGAGGGTCAATTAACTTCATGGTGATGGATGGAAACTCGACTTTTGGTGGTGATCATGACATAGTGCATACAATGTTGGAAACCAGTATTACCTACATAAGAATTTACTAAGAAAAAAGAAATGTGCAAAGGTAGTAGTAAAATACAGTTAAAAATCCAAATATATACAAATATAAAAATAAATTTAATACATAAATATATATATGACTATATGTAATATGTATTACATATATTTATAAGAAATGTGCAGAAGCAGTTCTAATGTAAACTTTTAAATATATATCAATATAAAATATATATTTAACACACAAATATATATATATATAAACACTCTATATGAAATGTATGTATATGCACATAGCTATAATTTATCCATCCACCCATCGATCCATCTAATTTGAGATGGGGAAATGGTCAGTAAAATTCCTTTCTTCCATCTAGACTCCTAGGTGGGAGACTTAAGGAGACCTGTGGACACTAATTATTGGGGTTTTGTTTGGTTTTCCTGACTACATGGGGTGTGCACAATATATACGTGCAGAAATTATTTAGGAAAATCATGCACAGGGACTGACTTGAAATTTCATTAAACTTGAGAAATTTCACTAAACTTGAGAAAACTAAGTGACAAAAAGTACTTGTCACTGGTGATCAGTTTTTAGTTTTTGAAGACAGAGGTTTGAGGTTTTATGCTTCAACCATTGAAAATCCCTGCGCTTGCCATGACAAATTAAAGGCAATGCAAGGCAGTCAGCGAGGCTAGGACTATAGCAGAGGATCAGAAAGATGAAATCTTAAAGGAATTTTAATTTCATGGACCACAGCAAGAAGGTCCTATTTTCTTTCAGATCATGACAGGAATTCTGTTCCTTTAGCCTCTCTAAATGTGGGTTAAGATATGTTTGTGATTGTACTCTTTGCTGCTATCTCCCTCAACTGGACTATAAGCCTTTCCCACATGGCAGCAACATCTTATTTCTCTCTGTACTGCAGGAACTCAACTATAGGCGATGATGACAATAATAATGCGATAAAATAAGATGTCGTGGCTTTCATTTCACCTCGAGAATGGTGGTCACAAGAACCTTACAGGCTACTTTTAGTACAACAGAAAAATTCTGGAAGTTCAAAGAGCTGGCTTTATATCAGCTTTGCTATTTCACTAAATGTGTGGCCCCAAAGAAGCCATTTAACTTTCCAAGCCTTGCTTTCCTCCTTGTAAGATACTTAAAACAATTCTAAATATCAGATGAGGCCTGTATCCATAATAGAGCCCATCAGATTCCTGCAACTGAAGAGTAATTTCTTCACCGTAGGAATCTCTGGTGTAAAGGAATGTCCTGGGAAAGTACAAGGCATTGAATGAATGTAAGATGCCTATTACTTTATAGATCTATGTCTCTATCTATATTCACCTAGCTCTCTCTCTGTTGCTGTCTGCTTGTCTTACCAAATACAGAGGCTACAAATTTGAGGTGACAATGTGATTGGTGAAAAAAATTCATCCCTTTTTAAAAATGTATATAATTTTACTAAAAATATTGTACAGTCTCTGATGTTACAGATTAGAAAACAGATTAAATATCACAGTTAACTCATGGCAGGATTAAATCCACCTTTATATGACCACATAAGACTACCGGCTGTATATATATTAACTATTACCACATTAGCAATGATGCAAGAAATAGTTTGAACTACTTTATTTTAGACTTTTTTTCATTGGCCCATAATGTAACTTTTCTTTGCCAAATCTTAAAAAGTATTCAAGTCCAGAAACAGTGCCTATTCTAATAACTGGTTATTATGTTAGACAGAAAACTATAGGCTCTATAATCTTGCCCACAAATGTGGGTTATTTTCTATACACAACATAGATAGCATGTGGGTTAGAAATGTGAAGAAGGATTTTATGCAACAGTAAGAGCATGTGCAAAGGCTCTGTGGCAATCAAGTTCTGAATAATGAAGGAAGAAAGAGAAGGCAAGTGTGATTAGAGAAATGAGCACAGTGGGTTGGGGGGGTGAGTTTGGTGAGGAGGAAAAGGGAAAGACCACTAGGTCTTAAATTAACTGGTTGAATTCCCTCTGAATCTGTAGGCTCAGAATCAGCATCTCCATTGTGATGCTTTTCTTGAAGTACTACTTTCAGAATTGATGTCTCTAATCTGGATGGCCATGTTTTTTTTCTTGTAAAGCATTGCTTTTCTACAATGCTTTACACATAGTTTTCATTTTGCATCAATGTCTATTCTGAGTTCCTTGGGAATAGGAACTACACAATAATTATACACTTCAATTCAGCACCTAGCACAATGACTACACATATGTAACATTTCTCATATGAATTAATCCATCACGTTCACTTACTAGCAAACAGCATTGTTTGTATTTATATCACCCTCACAGAAATTGTCTGATCCTATATGTACAAAACAGTTTAAACCACCCAGTACAAGGAACATTCTATGAACAAAGTTTAATTCAGTAGCAGGGAGTGCCAATTTACTCAAATGTACATCCAGAAGTTCAGGGACCCACTGTTCTTGGTTGCTTCTCTCTGCCCAGAACAGCATGCATACAAAGTAGAAACTCCCAATTGTTTGAAGACAGATTCTATGAGTGGATTCATATGGCAAAAGATCTAAAACAAGAATTTTTTAATTCTACTAAGGCTTTTGCTAATGACTTTTTGTTAAGATTAAGTAAATACCATCGATTGAATAGCCTTATTTCCACCTTTAGTGAAAATGATTAGAAGTAAAATTCAGTTTGAGGTCACAAGATCAAACAATAAGTGCAAAATTATATCTAAGGAGTGTTCTCTCCCTCTACTAGCAACTGCTTGTTCTCACAGAAATACATTAAATGACTCAGCACACTAACACGTCTACTTATTCCAAAGGGAGAGCTGATATAATAAGCATCAGGTAGAATACAGAGAGAGAGGGGCACTCAGAAAGACACTGACCCACATACTGTGTGAATCAACAGTTATATGACATAGTAAGAATGATGGGAAGACAAAAACACTTATTTCAGAAAAATGTCAAGAATAGTGTTTGAAAAGGAGTAATTTTTTTTTTGGTTGTAACTTTGGCGCTATACTGGTGAGTCTTTGGGTATGCTCATTAGAAGGAAAAGGCAAATGTAGAGTGAAAAGGTTGAATTGCTAAGTATTGGGAGTTACACAAAGTTATTCCTTTGTGTACACTTAATTTTGTAATAAATGAAGTATAGTTCTCACAAATTAGACTGCAGTTTCTCTCTTTAGACTTGACTCAGATATCATCACGCCTTGTGCTAAGCTTGTTAGCATAGAGAAGATTATCAATAGATATTTGAAAAATGAGAGAATGAAAAGAAAATTCTTGCAAATGGCATTTTCTTTCTTATTCTACTCTTCATGCTAAATATTATAATAACAATTTACTCTTAACTCTGAAACTTGAAGTAGTTTCTTTGGAAAATGGGACATCAAAATTTTTGTCCAATTTAAGTAGCTCTTGTAATTAAGTGACCTAAAAGGAAAAAAGGCATATAAGAGAGCTATGCAGTCTTTAGCAAACCATTGTTAAGAAGTGACACTGACTTCACCATTAGGTTTACACAGGATTGTTGTGTAATTCGGACTTGTTCCAAATTTGTTGAGTTCCTTCCAGAGAAAATTTGATGGTGGCTGGTGTTCTGCTTCAGATGCTGCTGCCCACACCTGAAAGAACATAGTCTGCTAATGACAAAGGAACAGGAGTTCAATTTGGTTTTGTAAATGTCAGAGTGTTACTGAAAAGTGCCTTCTGTACAGATGAGGCTTTAAAATATAATGCCAAGGTAGCTGCATCACCAAATAAGCTGATTTTCCATAGGCGCCTGGGTTTTCTTATTGGCTTATTTTGCTCTGCAGCTTTAGAGCCACAGCTATGCCTTAAATACAGTTTGTCCACATTATTTAATAGTTCTTGGAACTTACAAATTTTATTCACAGATGTTATGTACTTCCATGACAAATTAAAATTAGATTAAAACAGGGCCTTCCTAGCGGCATATGGGTTGGGTCTCAGTGCTGTCAGCCATCAGCTGCAGCCTGGGTTCAATCCCAGGCCAGGGAGCTGACCCACATATGGCAGAGCAGACCTCTACTGTCTCCCTGCTCCTCCCCTCAGCAGTGTAGCTCAGTAGATGCTTTTGTTCTGCTCCCTACTCTGTCTCTGATGACTCCTCTTGCCCTACCCCCACCTCTGGTCTACATCCCAGCTCTTCTATGCATAAATGAATACATAAATAAATAAATAAAAATAAATATTAAAAAATAAAATTAGGATAAAACATACACATATAATGGCAAGGTTTGTAAAACAGCTCCTGTATGTGGTTCAAAGGAGAGCACCAGAAAGAGGGAAAACCCTCTAGCATCAACTAGTTATTTGCTCTCTAAGCTAATAATCTGTTTTTCTCTTAACAATTATGTTCAATTATGTTTACTTAATTTTAGGAACTTAAGTTTTTGTATATAATAGTTTATTTTTACATCATTTTGTGCCTTTTTCCATCTCAGTTGTAATCCCCGTGGAGAAGTTAAGTATTTTAACACTTAAATCATACAAACAAAAGGCACTGTATGCCAAGTTGGAGAAAGTGATAGAAATTTAATTACAGGGATGGATTTACATTGTCCAAAGTGGCACAATTAACCACCAACAAAAGTCAATTTCAGAAATGACACTGACACAGAAATGACACTGAATCACAGTCTGAATAGGCAAAATCAAACAGGTAAAACTTACAACTCTAATTCATAGTATTTATGTCTTATACTCACTGTTACTGTGGAATTGGCTGGCATTATGATATTTGGAAGGAATCTGTACACAGCCACTCTTTGTCCATTCACGTTTTGCTGGAGAATATGATCTCCAATCTCAAGTTCTTTGTCCAGGGAAGAATTAACAAGCTTCACAAACAAACCCTTGATATTTACTTCAGCTATACAAATGTCTCCAAGAGCGCTAGGAAATACAGTACAATTGTAATAAGGTGACTTCACAAAGTATATCTTCAATTCATTTTAATATCTGAAGAGTAACTACACTTTAGGTGTTGTTCCTAAGCTGTATATTCCACTAGGCAAATTCTATGTAGAAATAATGTGTTTTGTAACTTAAGACAAGTGACTTGATCTCTTTTGCTTATTTGTGCAATAAAATTATCCATTGTTCATAAAATAAGTAAGGAAAATATAACAAAGTTTTCTTTACAGGTATGACATCATTACTTAAGTTTTCTTACTGTTCACCATAAAACATAGACAGGCTCTCAATAAATCAAGAGGAAAGGTAAGCCATTCATTTCCTTTCTGATAAAGTTACTACGAAGAGGAGTAGCACTGACATGCCTAAGAGAATTCTGCCTTGTTGAAACATTAAAAAAATAGAAGATGGTATTTTGTTACTTATAAGATGCTGAGAGCTTAGATGATCATGGACCAGGCTAAATAAATGTATATTAACACTTCACTATGGGTCACAGGCTATTAGTCATCATGAAAATCCCTCTGGTGGGTTGGGTCCGCCATTTTAAAAGTGACATATATCCTTACTACTACTACTACTAACTAATCTTACTATGTGCTAGAGTTTTTAGAAGAAAATCTACAATTTCATATCCACATCTACAAAAGCCAGAAAGTTCTGAAAAATAAAAATTCTTAATTTCTTGAATATACTTGAAGCAAACTCTGAGCTGGATTCTTTTTGATGGCAAAACCTGACCTGAAACTAAGACAAGGGTATTTATAGTCTTCATTTGCAGTTCGTGTAAATATTCAGATGTATGACTGCAGAAAGATTAATGTTTGATTTTGGTTATTTCTGCAAGGACTGGTGGCATGTGATATATGTGTGACCATTTCCATAACACTTTCCCCAAATCCCTTAAATTCTGAATTTGGAAACATAAGTCATCAAATATTTTGGCAAAGGCACAATCATTTGTGCTTCCTTCAACAATGCTCAAATTCTGCCCCAAATCAGTCTCCATCTTCACTCCTTTCCGATGTCCCATGAAAACAGGGCCATCAGAAAGAAGTAGGTTTTCCTGCTTCACACATTAAACCAAGTTCACATACTTTTCTCTGCACTCACCTCCAGCCTGCCTCATTTCAAAGGAAGAGGGCCCTTCCCACATCTGAAATGAAACTTCCAGAGCACAGTCCTGTCTCATTCCTCTCCTCTAGTGCCTCAGCATCTCAGTCCACTTGTTAAGTTCCTTTTCTCCTCTAACAACCACCTCTCCTTCCAAGACGCCTCTTTCTTCCAAATGTGCTCATATCCTTGAAGTGCTAAAACTTTACAAAAGACAAACAAAAACACTTCTCTTCCTGCTTCTGCTTCACTCCTCACAACCAATGCTCCGGAAAGACCATATGACTGGCTTCTCTCTCACTCACTCACTCCTTAGTCCACTTCTATCTATTTCCTTTCCAGATCGAGATGACCACTGCTCTCTCTAACCACTAGTAAACTGAGCCGTTACTTTTCCATCTTCGTCTTTCTGCCTCTGTGCTATTTCTGCTAGGTAGCGCCTCTCTTTTTGAAAGTTTCCTACAGAACAATTTTCCTTCTATCAGCCTGGTTGCTCCTTTTCAGTCTTTTTTCTTTCAGGTTTATCTTCATCTACATCTCAGAGGTTGATTCCTGGGAGTATATCCTTAGCAATTTTTTTCCTCATCAGACTAAGTATGTGGCATGATCTATGAAAAGACCTCAGCATCTATTTATACACAAGTGACTGCTAGATTTCTGCTGTGTTTAGGTCCACAAAACCCTCGGGTCCCTCTAAATCTATATGCCCAAACTGAACTCATCATTTGGTTGTGTTACTCTTCTGATTGGGGAACCTTTTCCAGTGAATTGCATGATCATTTATCCCTGTTGAAACTTTTATTAATTTTCTGCTCTCTTAACATTCAGGTCTTTCATCTGTGGTCAAGTTCTGTTGATTCTCCTTCTCCAGTATCTTCTCTCTATATCTCCTTCTCGCCATCCCTGTTGATGCTCTCCTCACCTTGGTGTGATACTATACCATTGTCTTCACTGGATTCTCTAGTCTGGCCCCATCCAGACTATTCTCCTTTTTGTACGATCCAAAAACCAGACACTGCCATTTTCCTGCTAGAAACCCTTTAATATCTTACTGTTTCCTTCCAGAGAAAACACAATCTTCATATCTCAGAAACAATGGGCTATTTTAATCTGTCTGAAAATTTACTTTCTTTTTCCTCCTTCCTAGCTTTCCCTTCAACTACAGCCATAAAGAGCTTCTTGCTAAACCTGTAATAACCCATGCCATTGCAAGTTTCATTCATTGCCTAGGTATGTGTTATACCCTTTTCTTGTTCCTGACAATGTACTCGACATTTTCAGATATTTCTTTCAATATAATGGATACAATATGGAATCTCATTGTTATTTTCATTTGTTTTCTTACTATAGTGCAGTTGAATAAGATATTTATTGTCATTCAGGTTTTGTCTGATTTAAGTGTTATATGGCTTTTCGAAAGAAGAATCTTGTGACTATGTCTATGATATATTTATGGTATGGAAATTTTAAATTTCTAATATTGTTTCTGTATGGTTACCTTTTTTCTTTACAATTTTTGCTTTTTGTGTCCTATGTAAGAAATCTTTCTTTCCTTTTATGTCATATTTTCTTCTACATATGTCAAGAATTTGTTTTTGACAACCTCAAAGGATATACATTTCATATAAGGAGCAAATTTTTCCTGAAATATCCTGGTTATGTATTATAAAGTCTGCCATCTCCCTGATAATTTTTTT